TGCCCTTTGATTGCTGGGATTAAGACATATCTTTGTGGACAGTAACATGATCCAGTGTATAAAGTGCTTCTTGTAGAAGCTTGACCACCTCAGATTGGTTCCAGGACTCATGTAGCTTTTGAAAGAAAAACTAATTCCACAAGGTTTCCTCTGTCATCCATATTCACATTGTGACATGTGCATACACACACTTGTACTCCACTACATCATGCATACACAATAATCATAAATAACTTTTTCTTAAAGGGCTAATATGTATTTTTTATCAAATTATTGAGAAGTACATACTTTGATGGATAGCCTCAGGTCAACATCACAAAACCTAAAGTCATCATGAGGAAGAAATCTCTATTTAAGGAAATATCACCATGATTGGGCTATTGGCAATAGCCTAACTATGACAAGTTTGTACCAGGATAGTGTGCTAATGGTGTGACAGTCCAGACCATGTTGTTTTGGGGAGTGTTTAGAAGGATATTCTAACTTGGCTATAAAAGATATTGGTTTTAAGAGCTCAGTGAACTGTTCTATTGGAGCTTGAGATATAAGAATATTGAGAGCAGTGAAGACAATGATATCCTGGCTTATGAAGTGTCAGATGGAAGCAATGATGATACCCATTCATTTGCTCTAAGAATGAGTAGTTCTGGTTAGATGGGGATGAAGAATCAGCTGTGATTAATGAGATATCAGAAGTACTAAAGTGAACCCTTTGCTTTACTGGATAATGGATGCTGGCCACCTGGGGCTAAACAAGCAGTTTTGATCAAAGAGTGACCAGCAGCATCATAAAAGTGAAGTCTTCTGGAAAGTGTTTCCTCCTGGTCAGCAGACAAAAGTTGTATTCCAGAATTGAACACATTTGAACCTCCTGTTGGCTACTGATCTTACTAATTTAAGAGTCACCTAAGTGGCACTGATGTTGGAAGCATGGAGAAGTCATCGACAGTAGCTGAGACTTGGCATTGTATGGCTGTGGTGGAGGCTCTGAAGAGAGCCCAGGAGAGGCTATTAGTGAAAGTGTAGCCCAGTTTCAGCAAGGCTCCCCAATGTTTTTAGGCTATGAATACCACGTGATGACCACCAAGATCACTAGCAGCAGTGGAGTGGATCCAGTCAGAACCTAGAAGACAAGCTGTGTGTATGTTATAGAGAGCACAGCTGAAGAAGTGACCCAGACCCTAGGGAGGACCCCTGAAGACAGTGCATTTATTCCAGACATCATATTTTGAGTTTTTACACATGGGAGTTTGACTTTCCTTTGTTCAGATTGTTCCTTGTTTCTTCTCTCTTAAAGAAAGAAAATATTTTTTTTTAATTTTACAGGATCCCACAGTTGAGATATTTCAAATTTTTTAAAAATGAAATTTGGGAGCCTCATAGAGAATTTTGATTTTAAAAGACACTGGATATTTTTTAAAATACTG